CGCGACCCGTACTAATGAACCATCCTCGACCTCGGCGCCCCTTCACTGCACTCTCAACAATAAGATTGCTTCTTACAGAATGGAGCAAACGCTTATCACTCGCGGGGCGCATTGATGTCGAAAATGAATAGCTTGTACAGAGGCATGCAAAGCGCAGTGCCCCACGCGACCTCGGCCTGGGGACAATTCTGCAGCCTGCCCTTTTGTAAGTATCATTCGATCCACGCGCAACCTTACGATGATGTTCCATTAAATTAATCGCTGCCCCATCTCAACTGACCTTCCTCATCACCACGTGGACTGGCTGCCTCCTCCTCCTCCTCTTCCTCCTCCTTATCCTCATCCTACTCCTCCTCCTCCTCCTGCTCCTATTCCTTCTCCTACCACCTTATCGTCCCCCACCTCCAACTCTATCCCAAAGACGCAGAGGCTCAGGCACAATGACACGCACTCCTTATGCTTGCCGAAGGAGTGCGATAATCATAATGTTGAGCTTAAGCGAGCGACCCTTAGTCTCGAGCTTCTTTCCTTCTGTACTCCTCCCTTATTAATTTATTTATTTATTTATTTGTTTATTTATTTGTTTGTTTGTTTGTTTGTTTGTTTGTTTGTTTGTTTGTTTGTTTGTTTGTTTGTTTGTTTGTTTGTTTGTTTGTTTGTTTGTTTGTTTGTTTGTTTGTTTGTTTGTTTGTTTGTTTGTTTGTTTGTTTGTTTGTTTGTTTGTTTGTTTGTTTGTTTGTTTGTTTGTTTGTTTGTTTGTTTGTTTGTTTGTTTGTTTGTTTGTTTGTTTGTTTGTTTGTTTGTTTGTTTGTTTGTTTGTTTGTTTGTTTGTTTGTTTGTTTGTTTGTTTGTTTGTTTGTTTGTTTGTTTGTTTGTTTGTTTGTTTGTTTGTTTGTTTGTTTGTTTGTTTGTTTGTTTGTTTGTTTGTTTGTTTGTTTGTTTGTTTGTTTGTTTGTTTGTTTGTTTGTTTGTTTGTTTGTTTGTTTGTTTGTTTGTTTGTTTGTTTGTTTGTTTGTTTGTTTGTTTGTTTGTTTGTTTGTTTGTTTGTTTGTTTGTTTGTTTGTTTGTTTGTTTGTTTGTTTGTTTGTTTGTTTGTTTGTTTGTTTGTTTGTGTGTTTTGTTTGTTTGTTTGTTTGTTTGTTTGTTTGACTTCGTTTTCACGCTCGTTTTACGTTAAGCAAACTATGGACAATTATTTCTAAAGAACTTCGCACTCCACTCGCCCGTTAATAAAACTTCAACTCGCTATACAAGTATTTTCACTCGACTCATATTCTTATATTTTATGTATTTCTTTGCTCTCCCAACTATCTAAACAACTGTCATATCTCCATATTTTGTGTAAAACGCGTACCTGCGCGCTACACGCATTTCTATCTAACAAACGAGCAAACATTTTGTAAAATTCAAAAAAAATAGGCGAAAAAAAAGAAAAAGAAAGCAACAATACGAGTGGACGAAATGCCAAATATGATTTAATGTCGTAATAACCGCGTTTTATTATTTATGAAGCCACGAGCCAAAGCGCTATGATGCGCAACAACAGGCACATGGTCTTCCTACAGGAGCAGCAGAGTCAACACTGCGGCTATCAAGATGAGATTCAAATGTCCTACGAGGCCAAAATACAGGACGACCTCGCTCGTCGCCTGCATTCCGCCTATGCTCAGGAGAGTCAGCAGGTACCTTGATATTTTATCATTTATCTTTATTTGAAAGTCGTTCCGTCGTTATTATATTCAACAAGCTCGAGTTACAATGATGAGCACACCTATATGTCAATATTCTACCCGTCAAACGCTATTTCTCCGTAATTCTCCTTTCTTTTTATCGTAAACGCTCTTAAAGCCTCTTTATTACAATTGCCTATGCGCTCGTTTATTTCATTATTATTTTCAAATAAATAATAATATTTGATGGATGAATAGTTGCGCGAATGTGATGAAAGCCGAATTTACGAGTCTGAACTTAAACGCCACGCACTAAGCTGGCGGGCTTAAAAATATTGCCCATTGCATATAAGGCTCGGGTGTATGCTGCAGTATTGATTTTCAACATCCTTAACACGCCTCTCACTGCCATTCCAGCCTGATCTCTGTAATTTTTTACCCTACTATTATAACCAAGTTTTCTTTATAAAAACGAATAAAGGAAGGGCGGGAAGAGAGGGTAGGTGGGAGGAAGGAAGGAAAGAATGAAAGGAAGGAAGGAATGAAGGAAGGAAGGAAGGAAAGGAAGGAAGGAAGGAAGGAAGGAAAAAAGGAAGCAAGGAACGAATGCATGACATAAAGAAAAAGAGAGAAAGTAAAGAAATAAATGGGAAAACACGGTGGATTAAGAGTGACCTACATTATCTTGTCAATACATGTTGTGAACACGAATGTCTCATTAGACTTGGCATTTAAGTACGATAATTTTCCATAATAAAGCTACGGTCGGGTTTATTTTATTTTATTTTTTAATTGTTCAACGCTCCTTAAAGAAAAGGAAAAAAAAATGGTGTTTATAGTTGGGTAAAGTATGGTGAAAATTTTCAATTTCTCTTCTGTTCAGATTAAATAAATGACGAACGCATAAAAAGTTGCTTGAATTTAGCCGATTACGGAGAATTTCCGTTTCTTTTAATAAACCGACGCAAATTTTTGAATTTACTTTTGCAATTTTAACTTGGTTATAAGAGTAAAGACCGCACGCGCCTACCCAGTGTCTTTGCAAACTTATTGTTAAATTAGGCGACTGGTCGTTGACATATTGTAGTAATTACTTTCAAAAATATCTTTTTGTGGAAAAGCATGGCAAGCTTCGCATAGAACAAACTGCGGGATTCTGAACACTTTAATGAAAACTCGGTGATTCATGATTAAAGTATATTAAATTGCATTTTCCAAACCATATCCTAATAGCGCGCGCGCATACGTATAATATAAGCTTGAAATATTAAATTGTTTCAAATGTCCATTACTTACTTACAGTATGTTAAGTCGTTCTTTTCTTTTTTTTTATTTTTTCTTTCTCTTTTCTCTTTCATTCTGGAGGAGTAAATTCAAAGATTAATAAAATCAGTATCGACGCCTTCATTAGTTATGAGGGCTTCATTTATTAATGTCATTGATAATACTCACGCGTAAATAAAAGAGGCTCGTGCACAATGAAAAGGTTCATAAATATTTTCCTCAATTATTTTAATAGCAGATACAGCAGCACCGAGTGTCAAAGTAAAATATGGACTTTAAGATAAGCGCGCACAATTTCCCATATGATTCTTCACCGTTGAGAATCAAATTCTTTATAACGTATAAGAGGGAAAGGACTGGTATCGGAATATATAATATCCCATTTATTCATTCAATCAAAGGCAAAAAATGGTGTGAGTGTAAGCCGCACTTTCCGCTTCGGATTAAATTATTTGCGCACTATTTGGCTTTAAAGCTCATAAATTGAATGACTGGTGAATACAGATAAATCCGGCCGTTGATCGCGATAATAGGAAAATGAAAAGCCGCGTGAGCCCGCACCGCCAAACTAACCAATTCGCAACGGTAAAAACGACCTCACCTGCCAACTCCTTAATTGTACGCGCGTGGGCGCGTGCGTGCGTGCGTGCGTGCGTGCACCCCACGCACCCAGCTTCCCCGAAATATTCGATGCAGCCATCGTCGATCGTCAGCACGGAAAATTGTCTTGTCTATAGCCGAGCCAGGACTCCCAGACCGTCCTCGGGAGCCGTTTCCAGCTCAAGAGTCCGGGGCTGCAGATGGCTCAGTTGCCGCTCGAGGAGCCGAAGGAGGGTCCAAGATGGTCCAGCAGTCCGCGACCCTCCTCGGTCTCGAGCTCCTCCTGCACGACCGACGGCCCCCAAGAGCTCCAGCACCAACACCAACATCAGAACCAACAGCATCAGCATCAGCAATCGCCAGAGCAGCAGCAGCAGCAGCAGCAGCAGCAGCAGCATCAACAGCAGCAACAACAACAACAGCAGCAGCAACGATCCCAACGTCAGCAGCCTCTCCCGGGCTTCCAACAGGCCTTCGGCTCCACCGAGATCGGCAGGTTCTCCCGCTCGGAGCTCTTCGCCAGCCTCGTCGAGGCCGCCAACGTGAGTAGTAGCAGCAACGCCGCGGACCGACTCGAGGGCGACTCCCCTTCGCCATCCCCCGACCTCGCGGATCCGGCGCAGCCCAACTACGGGTCCACACCCCGTTGGCACAGCCCCTACGTCGGGGCCATTGGTAGCGAAATTTAGCCGGATGGTCGCTAGCCGAGGCTTTAATACGCGATTGTTTAATCGACGAATAGGGCCCGCCATCTCGAATTACATGCAAACTCGTCGCCGATTATTATCAAGTCCTTGGCTTAACACTAGTCCTTTCTCGGGGCTGGATCTACATTTCCCCTGCCCCCGTCTCCCCACCACCGCCTTATTTACGTGCTCGCCAATGTTGTTGCAAAGTGCGTCGCACCGTGTTTCCGTACATTGACGCGTAAAGCACTTGGCGTTGGCGATCTATGATACGCGGCAGTGGCCGCTAACGAAGCCTTCTCAGCTTATCGACTTTATTAATAAAATAGGCAATGTACGGAATAGCTGATATCCTGGATTTGCCTACCTTAAGCCCCGAGACGCTGATAATCGAGTGTAACTTGCATTCTGATGCAGACTCACCCATATAATCAGGCTACGATGTATTATGAATTGCGAGAGGCTACGAGCTCGTGTCCGTCGGTATTTCTTAGGCAATCGCGGGCGTAACATGCGAGTCGTAACCAAATTAATCACCGATTGCCATTAATTGCCAAGGAGTGAAAATGACATTTTCAGACAAATTTTTATTAACTATTAAGTATTAATACTTCCGGTATTTTGTAAATATTTAAATACGTAATGTTCGGGCTTGGCGGCATCCCAAGTGCACATAACTAAAAGAAGATAAAAAAAAATTATATAAAATCTCCGCTTCGGCGATTAGATTAGAAACTAATTAATGAAAAATATAATTATAAGAATAGAAAAATTTACGACAATGTAGTACTTAATTATTGCATTATTATGATATTATCCACGTGTAATATAATGAATATTGTAATCAGCAATATTATCAAAACATTTCAGAAGAAATTCATATTATTTACTTTTAAAGTCTATAAATTGTTGAGCTATATAAGTATTTTTATTTTTATTTTATTTTTTTTATTTTTTTTTTTTTTTTTTTTTTTTTTTTTTTTTTTTTTTTTTTTTTTTTTTGTCACAAACCGCGTCCCTGAATTATGTGCCATATCGACGATTCAAATCAAATTTGCTACGAAGCAAAGCGTTCGAGCTAACTTCCATTTAGATCCTTCAATCGTATCAACGATTGACCTTCGGCATTAGTTACATGTAATTGCTAGATTGAATAAAATATGTCATTGAATGGATTATTAAGACTTTTATGGCATATGCATTAGAATGGATAATTGTTATAATGATTGAAATTGCGTAGAATATTATTGAAATGCCGGTGGTACTTGAAGCGAACAAAAATTCACTTTCTTTATTTAGGATTTATCGAGATCCACACTTTAAGCTTAATTTTGCTTAAGCCTTCGAGCTAAAACACTACGAGTGTTCAGAAACAGACGAATATCTAGCTGCAGCCAATTACTGAACGCTATTTTAACTGTAAAATATAGTCGTCTTTATTTAAAACGAGTACTTAAAGCAAAATTCTCAATTAGCTAACAACTGTTCTTAAACACAAGATTAAGACAATTGAAGTAAAAAATTTCAATATACATTGTACCATTGTGTCGAGAAAGATATAAACGGCAAATTAAATGGAAAAAAAATCTTTTCCCTTTGATTTTTGTTTTTTTTTTTTTTGTTTTTTTTGTTTTTTGTTTTTTCAACTTATCACTTAATTCGGCATAGAATTATAATGAATTGGCATTATTATCGAAGTTTATTTTTAATTAATTTTCAATGATATATATTAATGCAATCTAAAGGTTGCATTAACTAAATGTCAGGGCAATGATGAGAAAAGAGTTTTTAATAAATTATTATGCATATAAGAGATTTCATAAAGTCTAATACGTATTACAAAAAGTGTAATAAACGATAAAATCAATATAAGATGAAACATTGCTTCGATTAAAATCGACAGTTCTTAGAATTGGAATAAAATTTCTCTATCAATAGATAATGCCAAAGTAATAACAATCATTATTTAATATTATTATACGTAATGAGGAAGTATTAAATTAAGCGTAAAGCTTAATCATAAAAATAAAGATGAGATTCAAAAACTCTTTTCTCAACTCCATAATTATACACATAGGAAATACGAATAAACGTTCAACATTATAGTTGTTACGATTATTCAATTAAAGAAAGTACTTTGGGCGAGAGACATTGCATTTTAAAGTGACGATATTCTAGTGTACGAATTGTAAATGTGTTCCTTGTTTTTTGTTCGTAAAAAAAAAAAATTGTATGCCAAGATTTATAATAATGATGTCGTTGGAGTTGACTGGCATATTAAAAAGAAAAGGAAAAAGAAAATAAAAGAGGAAGAAATGTGAAAAAGTACATAATTACTAATGAGCGCATGCAAAAGAAATGTCAAGAGTTATGAATATTAGCAACGGCGTCTTTATCTAATCGTTAACATTTCAATTGGTTATCAAAATTGTGCCTTCCGATGGACTGGACATATATTAATCAAGTATTAATTATTATGTTGATTATGATAATAAAAAGGAAGATAATAGGTATATTGTTTATAAACAAAAATTACTACACTGAATTATGAAATATAATTTTAAATTAGCCGCGTAACACAATGAATTATCGATTGTATGCGTATTGTATTGAAGCCTCAGTTGTGTATTTACAATAACTAAACAAGCCTTGATAAGGATACGAATATCATTCACTCTCTCCCCCCCTCTCACTCTCTCTCTCTCTCTCTCTCTCTCTCTCTCTCTCTCTCCATTAAATACACTTGCGTTGACTCATTTTTATTGTCATTATAATTTTTCTATCCAGACAATCATTTCTTTTGCCAAAAATTCACAAAAATTTAAACAAAAATTTTACTAAAAAATGTATAAAAAAAAAAGTATATAATTTATGTTAAACATTCAGTATTAAAAAAAACAAGCATTAAAACTTCCAATATTGGTATACAATTTAAGATTACATTTTAAAAGAGATACCTGTGAAAATTTTACTCAATAACTCATCAATTAATTGTAAATTATGCTTTGTTCAATTGGTTCTTATATTAATAATAAGATTTTAAAATAAATATAAAACAAAAAATGTTAATGTCAAGTGATTCAAACTTAATTTACACAATTAATATTCATATGCAAACGCCATTGATTCATGATAATTTACAATACTTTTCTCTCCAAATAATTAATTTTAAACTTCACTTTCAATCTTCCATTCTACTGTCTTTCCTATAAACATTGAACTTATATAATTTTCTATTAATCTTTTAACATTCGTAATTTCCAATTATTACTTGATATCGAATATCCTATCATAGAATTTCTATTTATTAGTGATACAATTTACATCAGCGAAAATTTTCAGTTGTTCCTCTTAATGAATATCTGAAGAAGAAGAAAAAAAAGAAATACGATGTTCTCAACGTAAAATATTAAACAAAGATTATAAAAAATCAAATGCAATTACATACAAAATACAGTTATTATTATAATCAAAATGATATTAAAACAAGATGACCGACAATTTTAGAAAAACAGGAATAAAACAACTACATGTTAACGATTTTATTATTGTTAATAAGTTTATAATATTTATTACCAAATGATTAAATATGTGATAAAAAATTATATTATATATGCACATATAAATATATATTTATATATATATATATATATATATATATATATATATATATATATATATATATATATATATATATATATAAACATGAATATTATTTAGTAGATTATGCAGGTGATATGTATTTATATGGAATATACGTCAGCCAATGTATATGAAGCGAATAGAAAAATAATAAACAATGTTAAGGTGCGAAAACCCTTAAGAAGAGAATCTATAATACTGACATCGCAAATTTCACTCATACATTTCCATACTTTTATGATTCATTAGGATATTCGTGATTGTAATTATTATATTTGAATATTAATATTATTTAGAAGGAAACGTCATAATACCATAAAGTTTTTAAGTAAATATATGAATAACAGAATTTTCTTAAAATACTAAAACGTAAGCTCTCTTTGTATGTTTATCATGAAAAATATAAAGTTGAAAACGATTGAGAGAGTAAAAATATATTTTCGCATATTTAAATCATTAAATTTTTATGTTTGAAAAATGAAATGCTTGTTTAATTGTCAAAAAACGTGACGTTTTCTTGTCAAATAATATTAACATTTTCAAACTATATAGTTGGCAATTTGAATATTTTTTCGAATTATATCGATAAGGTAGTGTTAAAGAAAATTCAACTCTAAATCTTCAAATGGAATTTTCGAGTAATTTCGAGGAACTCGGTCAAGACGAACTAAATTAATTCTTTCCTACGATCTTTTGTCACAATAATATAATATCACTTGTCTCCGTTGTTATTTGTCCGTAATTTATGCAACATAGAACGAGTCCATATACGCGTCAACGAAATAAAATAAATCAGTCGACTTCAAGACAATACGAAGTTCAAAGTGCTTGTAATGTTCGATTATATATTATATATTTGATAGTATTTTATTTTGCAATACCAATGAGTCATGGACGCTTACACATTGGTACTTCTTATTAGATTATTATTATTTTATGTCTAATTTAATGAAGCTTTTATATTAATGAGCTTTGTTAGAATCTAAAGGTAATGTAGATAGATGTGAACTTATGGAGAAATGATGTAATATACTATTCAATTTTGAGTTGATGAATTTTAAGTTACTGTTATTAAACTATCGGAATGAAATTAATTATGTATTTCAATTTATACAAAGTTGTTGGAAGTCTGCCTATTGATAATTTAAAACGTTATTTTCAATCGATAGATTCTCAAGTATTATAGATATTATTATTTACGAATATTCATCATCTATTGCAAATAGATGAAAAATAATTAATGTAAAGCATTTGTTATAAGCCAGTAATTCTTCTGTTAAAACTAATATGCTTATGGTAACGAATCTTCCAAACAATTTAACAATCGTGCGTACTTATTAGTGTTAACTTATTACGAAAAAAAAAGAAACAAACAAACAAAACGAAACGTTAATACGTTAAAAAATTAGAAAGTAATTTTCTTTTTACAAAAAGACAATGAAACGTGTGACCGAGTTCCATCGAACAATAAATAAGTCGTTCGTGCATACGATATGACAATTTGTATAAAAGAAAAGTACCTATGTTAGATGTATAAGAAAATATATTCCACGCGTAGCGACAAATATGGTTCATCAATAATTCACGCTAAAACAATAAATGAAGAATTAAAATGAAAGACCTATAATCCTGTACCTATAATGGGACCAAACGATTTCTTTCTCTTTACCGCTCGATGCGCATTTCAAAGAAATTCTTCTTTCCATCTATCATACATACAAACATACATACATACATACATACATACATACATACATACATACATACATACATACATACACACATGCATACGTACATATACATACACACATGCAAATATACATACATGCATGTAATTTTACGTTCTGTTGAAAAACAAACAAAAAAACAAAAACAAAAACAAAAAAAAAAGTATCTTATGCGTCTCGAGCTTCTCGAAAATCAAAATGATCCTTACTTTCTTAAAGTTCTAGTGATAAATGTGTAAAGAATGTAACAAATGAAATATAATATTGATTTCTCCCCTTCTTTATAAGCCTAATCAATATTGGAAAACCAATACATATTTTTGACGGCAAAATTCAAACGACCCCTATCGAGGTATATTAGGAGAAAAACCATCATAGCGTGAAAATCAGAACACAAGTGATAATATTTAAGAACATAATATTACAGAAATTAGAAACTTTGCAAAATATAGTCGATTTAGATGACGGCAGAACTTTTATTTATCATTATATGCGCGTAGATGAGTCCTTCGCAAGATATTTCATCTCGGTCAAATGACTTGGAAAATATAATCAAAGCACACATACGATTCACGATAGTAAATTTAACTTTAGACATTTTTCTAGAAACATAAGCAAAGTATAGGAATCCGTTTATTGAAAACATTAAAGTAATAAAGCCTATCGTTGCGATAGTGAGGTAACAGACGTTTTTTTCCAAGAGATAAATCATTGAGCATAGAGTAGCGAATCCATCGTACGTGAATGAAAAGTTTTCGAATTCATCAACCATATAGTCAGTCGGCTCGGATCGTGAATATAAAAAGACCGTCGCAACAGCGACGTACATATCACTTTGTGAGGCAGAGGATTAGAAATTGTCAAAGATAATCCGACTGCGCGCGTCGACAATGAGGTTACATGTAAAAGAAAATGAAAATGAAGGAAAAGTGCTCATTGCCAAATTAGGAAAAAATTTAAAAGAAGATGGTTCGTAAGAGTCGAAGTATAAGTTAGAAATAATAATAATAATAATAATAATAATAATAAATAATAATACTAATAAATAAATAAATAAATAAATAAATAAAAATAACAACAATAAGTATAATAATAATATTATTAATAGTAATAGTAATAAAAATAATGATAGTGATAGTAATAGTAATAGTAATAGTAATAGTTAATAGTAATAACAATAATAATAATAACACTAATAATAATAATAATAATAATAATAATAATAATAATAATAATAATAATAATAATAATAATAATACATGAAACTGCGTCGATTCATCGCACCGTGACGATCATATGAAATTACCGAACCAAATAAATAAACGTTTGTATAATAAAATAATGCGTTTTATTGCGCACTAATACCGTCCTCGATAACTCTCTCTTCTTCAGTTAATCCCATCCGAAGGCTTCCTAAAATCCTGTACCACCACTTTTCCACCCACCACATCCGTCGATCCCATGAACAATGTACCGAGAGCGGAGCTGAGGAAACAATTAAAAATGGAAGATTGTTATTGGATCAACTGGATCGAGACTTCGGACGCTCCAGAATCTAGGCGAGAGATAATGGTAAGCACGACTATATTATTATTTTATCTCATTCTACTCGATCACTTTTGGTCACTCGCGCTGCGAGCTTTAGCTACGTCACCCCATTTAGCCACGCCTCCCCCGTCCCCGCCCCATCGTCATACTTAATTTTGAAGTAAGCTACCTAAAAGTATCTTACTTTTTGAGAAAGTAGGCTCAAAGTTCCGTTGAAGGACAATGGTCGATCGCTGGAGAATTGGGAGGGAGACTCGTTATTAAATTTCATTATTACGTTTATGCATTTATTATCCGCGCGATAATTCTTGGCGACGATAAGCCGCGAGAGGTCGATCGCACGCTAAATTATGCGTTGCCAAAAGTTTAATAAAAAGAACAGAAAAAAAGACGCGCACTACACGCGAACAAATCGGACTCCTGCAACTGCGACCCTTCGACACTCAACATTCAACAATAGAGCCGCGAGTTGAAAAGTTGAAAAACCTCCCGCTAATAATATTCCGAACGCGAAGCTAAAATAATATTCGATATTATAATGTCGATATTATCGGCAAAGGGCGTTAAAGAGAGCCAAAGAGAAACAAAGGCCCAAGTGCTATGAGCGCTAATAATAACAGAAAGAGCAATAATACCGAGCATGTGACATATTACGTTACGCTAGGATTGCCCTCAACGGGGAGGTCAGGAATGGTTGGGACGGGCGCCGTTACCCCCGGCACTCGAGCACCACCGGGACTGCAATTGCGTGCGCTTCGCCTTGCCGACGACGAGTCAGCGGGAGCCGAGGCCGGAGGAATGCCTCGACCTGCGGGTCCCGTCCAGGCGGGAGGAGCAACTCTGCCAGGATTACCCGGACTCCTCGATCGACAATGCCGTCAAACCCTAGGATGTATGGAGGAGCCCTCGTACGGAGGACGATTATTCCTCGCTGGCCCTCCCACGTATCTCCAGCGCTTTTCTGAATTCCTATACGAGAGGCGATGATGGCGATTATAATTATTTCGTTAGATGGCTTTTATATTATGTAGCGTTGTACTATTGTAAGTATTATTATAAGTGTATTTATTTATATTATTGTGTGCTGTGAGAACGTAGCGAGTGTTCCGTTGTAGGCTTGAAGGACTTTGTAGCGCTAAATTTATTGCAATTGTTGATAATATCGTTGCATTCCTCGTGTTCTTCTTCTTATGTGACCGTTGAATGGATTAGTTATTACAGTGGATTGTCCGACCTCTGTAGAACGTAATGAGTTGTCGAGCGAATTGTAATGATAGAATTGTAAAATTCCTACTACGCAGAGTGGGTGGCAACTAAAAGCTCTCGTTGAGAAAAAGCAATGGAACGATTAGCATGAAAGTTTTACGTCTATTCGAATGACAGAAAATTTTTGCGAAAGCGCAGTGGTCGCGGTGCCTATGCCAATGCTATAAAGCTTTATCATCGTTAGAATATTAATCGGTTTGGTGTAAAAGAAAAAAAGAAAAAAAGAAGAAAAAAAACTCGGCCTCGGTGCGTTGATTGCATCTATTATTTGTATATAAGCTCATCGGGCACTTTGTTTTCAATTAATTTCATTGGTAATCACTGATGATATGATATATTGTCCACGATAAGATGATAATTGTCTGCGGCTCGTATGCGGCCATTAGCATTTAATAAGCTAGCTGGACATAAATTTAGAAAAGGAATTTTATGATATCCAGTACCTCTCACGATTGAAAATATAGGACATAAAAATTTATAATCCGCATTTTCATCCTCGTAAAAATGTCCTCTACCTCGACATCTTATTTTCACCACTAACATCGTCGCTTCTGTCTTCCACTTCCAGTTTTCAAAAAAGCGGCAAGTCTCAAATTCAAATCCTTCAGCCGGCAATATAAAACTCTACTAAACGAAACAGTAAAACGCCGTTCTAAATTATATATACAACCTGTAACAGCAAAAAAGGGGGAATGAGATGATCAAAAGTCCGATCGTTAATATTCTCTGGAAACAATAAATATACACGAATCCAAATTCAAACCGCTAAATTAGAAGCGAATTTTACAATGTTGGGCACGCTAACGAATATTACATCTGTAATACGTAATATGTATGTACTGTATAAAAATTATTGTTGTCATTATTATTATTATTATTGCCATTATTGTTGCTGTTATAATAATAATGATAACAATTACTATTTTACTAATGCTGCTCAATTGTTACTATTGTTGTAGTTATCCTCGTCGTCGTTATTGTTGTTGTTGTTACTGCTGTTGTTATTATTATCATTATGATTATTATTAGTATTATTAGTATTATTAGTATAATGAAAGTAAAAAATAATGCTGACGAGGAGGAGGACAACGACAACGAGGACGACGACGACGATGAGTGTAGGTTTAGCGCGGAAATTTATTACTAATAACGTAACATACTTTCTAATTGCTTGAAATTAAATTAAAAAACGTTTCAAAGTTCATTAGTTATGAAAACGTTGCTACAGGATAATATAATTTTCTCTTTCGTTACTATGTTCCTGACGAAATTAAATCTCCATCACTCTCATACAAAAATAAAAGCAATTGCTAACAAGATTCACATTATTGTACTATTATTTTAATATTAAAGGTATTTAAATTTACCATACCATAGGTGTGGTATTACCATAATAAATGTAATATGGAATAAAAAAGAAAAAGAGAATAAAATTGTACGCTAATGAAAAGCACAATATAATATGGATATGGAGAAAAAGTGAGTAAGGAGGTAAGTAATGTACATGTGTATAAGAATTATATGTGTGCGACTAATAAAACATAAAAAACATAAGAGGAAAATTTAGTGCGGTCAAAGGTAACATTTGGCCATATAATTAATTCAACAGTAATAAAAGTACTTTCATCGAAATCCAGGCTAAAATGAATTGATCAAACGTGAATTTTTTTTTTTTTTTTTTTTTTTTTTTTGTTCTCTATACAAATTTTCGTCGTACCCTATAGATAAATAAAATGAAATCGATGAACAGAAAAACCAAAAAACCAAAAAACCAAAAAAACAAAAAACAAAAAAGAAAAAAGAAAAAAAGAAAAACTTAATGTCATAATTATGATTTTGAAATTATGTTCTTATTACGTTGGAACGAATGCGTGCTAAAAAGAAGATTAGCGTCGATCCGAGCCTGGACATTCAAATTTATTTCCATAATCCCTGGAATACATGAGAAAAGCAGCCTTAAGTAGCGGACAATGGAGCTTTTAAAACAACTCCGCTGAAATGTTCATAGAGGAAGAACAACGGTGTATAATAGCTCCAATATAACATACGATTGGGAATTGTTCATATTCGTACGATCGAGGCTCGGCGTCAAATCAAGACGAATCTCCAAAGAGAAAAAATAGGAGCCGTGCTACCATTACAGGTATATGACAGCAGTGGCCGTAAACCAGCGACCCCCTCGCAATCGCCGAAACATCAAACATCAAACATTGATGGAGACAGGAATTTTTATGGGGCCGCCGGCCGAGGAACCCTCCCCACAATTATAGACAGACGCTCTTGTACTTGGCACTGGACTGACGCTCGGTCCAACGGAAAAAGGGCTGCCTGCGCCGCCCAACTACTCACTCGCCATCTCACTCCTATATCTGTCTCTATCAACTATGTCTGGCTCTATTATCAACCTCTCTATCTCTACAAAAGTGCCTTCGTTTTTCCCGACTGCTCCCTGTCTTCCCTCGTTTCTGCGCTCGGTAACGCGTATTAGGCATATTTGCCGAGACCTTAATACAACCACGCGATAATATATTGTTAGAGGCGCTCTTTTCGGGTTTATGTCTTGAAAGCAAAAAATTTGTTGGTCCACTTCTTCGTGGCTGACGAGCGCCCATACCAATACAATGAAATTTACAATTCTTTTTTATTTTTTTTTTTTTTTTTTTCAAAAGTTTCGCCCCAATGCAACTTGCTTCGAATACAAAATTCATCATCCATTTGGTATTTACATTGGGTGGAAACTCAAGGAAAGCCGAGCGTCTGCTGTGCTATAAAAATTAAAAGCAAATCAAATCATTCTTGTCGGAACGTCCGAGTTAATTCAATAAAAAAATAAAAAAAAAAAAATAAAAAAAAATAATAATAAAAAAAAAGGGGGGGGGAGGGGGGAGGGGAAGAAGAAGAGGAAGAAGATGAAGAAGGAAAAAAAAACACGGCACTAGGCCTTATTTATAGCATTGCCTTTATCTTTCTAGCTCTGTTTTCAGCATGTGAATTGTCTATTGCTTATTCTTCCTAGTATGTGTGCGTGCTATGGAAAATCCATTTATCTTCAAAACCAACTCAATAATTCAAAGTGACTCGATCATGGATCGGATGTGAGCATACACTTTGGACGAACATGTCGCCACGTCTCTCGCTTCCGCGAAAGCTTACGATTAACCTTCGTCGTCATCGTCCTACGTAACGCATTGAACATACACAGCCGATAAATACGATCCGCCCGCTCGACCTCCATCCGCCCCTGAAACATTCCCATCGATTCCCATTCTTCCCAAATATCTTCGCCACATTGATCCATCCATCCCGCCGTCATTTCAACGCTCGAACACGCTTTCACGCAGCCTCGCGTTACACCAGACGCGCGACGTATATCCATCCATCCATCCAACTCGCCACCACCTCGACTCGCTCGTAAAAGCGCATTCCCCTTCCATTATTTAAACAACTTAGCCTCTCCAACCGTCTTTTATAAATTATTTTCCCTTTGGCTGAGATCGAGAAATAACTCCGGCAAACACGACGACACTCGTGATGCCTGACTTTTAACCGCCGGAGTATCGCGCACTCGAGGTCGTAAGCGGCGACGGCGTAGCTGCTGTTGCCGTAGCTGCTGCCGCAACTCCCGACTCGAGCTATCGCTGCTCCTCAAATAGGCCATACACTACGCTGGCTGTTGATTTTTCTCATTATCCGCTGCCGCTCGCTTCACCCCCCCCCCCATAAGCCACCCACCTCACCGACCACGAAGCCCAGGTCGCGCGGCCGAGAGAGACGAGGAGGAGGATAGCATCGGTTTTTGGCCGATCGCACGGGCCCCGTCGGGAATGCGAGCTCTGCCGTTTCTTGCTCCTTAATATTTCGGGTCGAATTAGTCGGTCGGACCCAATGCCGTTCTTGTTGCTTCTTTAATTAGTTCGCTGAAATAATTTCGGCAAACTTACGCGCCCAAATCACCACCACCACCACCATCACCCTCCAACACCACTACCACCACCACCACAACCATCTCCGCCAACGCGCCTTTTTGACTTTTCGACTTTTCGACTTTTCGACTCGGCATTTCTTCTTCAAAGGATACTTTGGCCTTGTCTCGCCTAGCTCTGCATCTAATTGCATAAAGTACTTGTCATTTTAAAAAACATCGAGCGTTTAGATGTTTAGAAAACATCGTGCTTTCATTCTTTAAAATTTGTACGGATGTGTGAGTTTCCGTAGTCAGCAAGTAAGTTTCATACACCGAGGGTACTTATGACGTTTTGTCACTAAAAATGCTTGGATTTTCTTCAATCGATAATCCTTATAATCAAACATTATTAATATGCACATGTTTAATTTTAAATATTAATCATCGAAATAAAATAACGAGAATTTATGTAAAAATTCTTCATCGTTAGTTGATAATCAATGAAATTTCTTTAAATCAAAATATTTTAACGAAAAGTTACATGCTCATTAAGTTTGTTCTGCTATCCTCTCTACTCGATCCTTTCCCTAATACTCGCCAAGTACTTAACATGCCAATATGAAAAAATATATGAAATTATGGCACTCGATGGTCGTCCAGTGGATCTTGATCGAACGGTAAGTAAGATTTGCCAGAAAACATTGTTTTTGAAAAAGAATACACGACTCATCGTAGAAATATAAAAATTTCATTCTCTAGACTCGATAGATTAAAACGTTGTCGCGAGCATATTATTGAATAAAGGAAATTTATTGAAATATTAATGACTTTCTATCGTAAATCCTGCCGTTTCCATTTTAATGATTAATTTACATTCCCACGGCTATGCAGTTAATGTTTATAAATTTTTCAATCATTTTAAAGGACAAAAAAAGCAATATTTTAAAATAAAATACATTTAAGGCTTGCTAATGACTAAATAACGGCAAAGGATACGAGATAACATTGATTTGTATTTTCGTCTATGGACACACTCGCACACACACATATATATATATATATATATATATATATATATTTGTTTTTTTTTTTTAATTAATCGGCGAGTAAATGATAGAATTAAGCGAATGAGATTATGTCGACGCGTCAACATTTCCACATGAAAGAAATAATTTGTAATTATGAATTAAAGTATGAGTGTAATTAATATATGAGTCAGAATCCGTACTCTGATGTTAAATTTCGCGAGATTTTCACGCCGCCGAATAATGATAAGCAAGGCACATCACGATTGCATAGTTGAAACTATTTCAGAGATATGAAATACTATAATCGCCTCAGCTTTCTGAAATAAGCATTTCTTTCCTTGCTGCTATCTCTCGACGAATTACTTTACTTTTATATTTCATGTACGACGGCCGCGCATTAAACTATGCAATATTCAAATGCATCCTTACTTACTAGTAAATAATTCTCCTAATAATCTAATGAGAATTAACTTGCAGTGCAACATAATGCCAGGAAATACGGACACTCTGTGTGGGCGTGCGTGCGCGCGCATGTGTGTCTGCATTTGTGATTTTGACGGCTAACATCGAGTCTTGCGATAAGAATAGTAAATGCAGAAAAAGCTATATTTACATAAATTTATATAAAATTACATTAAAAAATTTTACCTTCTTATGCCTTATCGATCTAATATGTTTATGATTGCGATTATGTGTTTAATAATGTGGCGGTGAAAGACTATTTCAATTGGAAGATTGACATTGTTAGAATTACAAGTACATCTAATTTCTAAATTATAGATTGTTATATATTAATGTAAGATACCACCTCGCATTCTAATACGTCAATTTATTAAAAATGGCAGATTGGTATTTTGGCCAATTTTTACAACTAAACTTAACGATTCCCTCGAAGGTTCCTAGTGCATCCAAAATGTCATAATACAAGACAAAATACCGTACGAGAATTTAATTTCACCGTATATTTAATTTCAGCCGACCTTTTTATTAATTATGCCTTTAAATGTTTTTCTTTTTTCCACGATTGTGATAAAAATTGTTTAAAAAAAAAAATCACGTTTACTTGGAAAACAGATAGAGGGGCCAAAGTGTCGGGAACCAAGGGAAGACCTATTTATCGGTCGAGATAAGTAATAGATAACGAATCCTATGATATTAAGGGATTCGATAATGTTGAAAGAATTTTTAACAAAAATTACAAAGAATCTACACGTATTAATAGTCGCCGAGACGTCTCGAGCAATCTCCATCGAGTAAATCAACGAAATAACTGGCGAAAGAACCATCTGTTGGGCAATCACTCGAGAGGCTCATCATCATCGCTTCGCTCGTTATCACGAACGCGCCAACGCGCGGCGGGGCGCTTAGCTTCTCACAACCAAAAGTCTTATCGAAATGCTGCGTATATCCCATGGAAATAGCGACTTTACCTTACATGAAACGAGCCAACGTAGAAAATCGAATGAAACCTATCGGGGTGTGCGTAACTTAAGCCTTAGCAAACGAACTTAATGCCGACGTGGGCGTATATTTCCCCCTCATCCATCTTGGCGTGGAAGCTCTTCTTGGGCAAGCGACTCCCGAAAGTCCATCTCGCCGTCCTCGCTCCTGCCAACGCCCAATCGTCCATCCATCAAATCTCGTCGGAACTGGCTCGCTCAAGCGGGTACACGTAGCCGACACTCGTGACGTTCCAAAATAAAAAAAGCCGATCGCGCGCCATTAGCCCGTACGTATTGGGATCGCGATCCCATACCCGTGAGTACTCCCGGGCGTCAAACCGTTAACGAGCGAAGCCGAAGGTTATGCAAAAGCCTCGGCTGCTCGCCGTACTGTCTGTCAACCGTGCGCCGGAAAATCGACGAAAAATCGCCACAACCCCCCGAGCTCCGGTTGCCAGCATGGGCGGGGCCCATCGAGCCTGGCGATTGGCCGCCGCGCCCCGGCCCCGAATGGGCCCCCGACCAATCGCTACGCGGCTTCCCGTCCCTCGACCAATGGCGCGCGGCCCACGGCCATATCGCCCGGGCCAGCGCTAATTGCCCGGTCAATTAGCGCTCGCCCCGGTGGGGACTCGCGCGCTGCCTCGCTCTCAGTCCGCGATCGCTGCCTAGTGTGAAATATCGCGCCCTGGTGCTAGTCGCGCAGCTCCTGGCCTTAGCTCATCGCCATTGTCCGGGCGCGCGTGTGGGTGTGGAGGTAGGACCACGGCTACGAGGACGGCGGCGATGTCCGCGCGACCCCGAGCAGATAATTGAGCCGAAGCCGATCGAGGGGGAGCGGTGAGCGAGAGATAAGCGAGGCCGCGGGGACGAAGCCGCTAGAGGGAGACGACGGTAAGCTCGCGACACTTTGCGCGCGATACCCGCCGGAACGACGGGACGCCAAGTCGTTCGCGGCGACGCGACGCTTTCTTAACCCCTGGGGTTAAGCGACCGAACCGATGACAACGGCAACGACGACGATAACGACGACGATCACGACCATCAGCATCAACTACGACCGAATTCGATCCACTTGAGCTTTTTCTCGCAGTCGAGCTTGCGTGAGAAAATCGTCGCTACTCGGCCTTTTATTTAATATCCGGTGCTTTTAAGGCTGGAAAGTGAAGCGAAGCCTGTTACTTATCATGTTGCCCATGAGTAATTAAACTCGAGGAATATCAATCGTTTGCTCACTTGCTAAAGAAAAAAAATAAATAAAACGATAACAACAACGACGACGACGACGACGACGACGACGACGACGACAACGACAATGACAGCGACATCGACAACGACAACGACAATAACTACGACAACGACAACGACAACGACAACGACAACGACAACAACTACGACAACGACAACAACTACGACAACGACGACAACAACGACGACATCAGCAACGACAACGACAAAACTCTTTGTATGCCTAAAATAGACAAGAGTTTAATTGACGAAACGATGATAATAATTGAAATTGACGAGTTTTAGCAATAGACTTACAATCTTATCGAATGATATTCAAAGTAAGTTGTATTTAGTTTAGAGTATGCATTAATGAAAAGATAAGCGACTGTCCAAGTGGGATTTTTAATTTGTAAATGTCCAATTTTCCAATTAGATGAAACGTACTTATTGCAAC